TTCAAAATCAAACTATTTTGTACAAAAGTTTTTTCTTAATTTTTATAATGCCAAGTTTTGCAGACAACCACTATCCTTATTTTTAAAAAGGTTTTATAAAAAAATGTTTTAAAAAGGCAACTTTTTTAAATCTATATTTATTTTTTGGTATGTTGCATGTTAACTGTAATGGATATATACTTAAAAATTAACTGAAATTAATGAAAGTGAGAAAATAACAAGCATAAAATGAATTTTAAAAAATGTTATGTTCAATATTTAAATCTTGCTTAGCATTTTCACAAAATTGTCACTTTTGAAAATAATAAACTCCAGCTACACTAAGTTTAATTAAATGTTCAGAAGGACAATACATAATTTCAATTACCTGGGATGCAGTGGACTTAGAGCTGATTCAATGGCTTGACCAGGCTTAACATGAAATTACTGAAAAGCAACATGTTGATTCCGATCAGTAAGTATGGATAAACTATAATACTAACAGCATGAAAGGTCCTTGCTCGATTCCCTAGAAGAATAACAGCTCTGGGTCAATGTGCTTATCCCCATCTGCCAAGACACTATGTCAGAATACACTGTGACCCCTTTTCAGCATTTCTTAACCTCCATCTGATCAGATTGTTCTAAAGCTTCATCCACAACAACTGTTGTACTTAGACTGACAAATGCCATTCCTTTACTAGTGGATAAGGTTCAAGAACCTTATATTGATATGCGAAAGACATTTGACCTTGTGAACTACTGATGGCTCCTGGGAAGCATAATACCTAACAAGTGACCATGATATAGGATAGCCTGTGGCCACCTATGGCACCAAATGCAAGAGAGCTAATGAGCAAAGATCATTAACTGTGGTATCGATAGCTTCTGTGTCTTGCCCTACTCAGCTCCATAAAACATTATTCAACATGACCTCTGTCAATATATTTGCTTTCAGAGTGTCAGCATTGTCCTACGTGTTTTAAGAACTATATATGTATATGTAATTTTTTAAATTAATTAATTAATTTATATATTGTAAATAAATTGGATGAATGTATATTGTATTGAAATGTAGAATAATTGGATTTTTAATAAAACATTATTATACTAATTAGTAATAATCTAAATAAAAAAAAAAACTATGCACCATTTAAAGTTTAATGACGAAATTACAAATAACCATCTGTTTAGTATATTTTATTTCAGAAATTGCTTTTTACTGTAATCTGTCAGAAGTGGAAAAACAATGCAAAGGACAGGAAAAAGAAAATAATAATTGACTCAGACATTTGAAAAAGCCTCGGTAATCTGAAGAACGATCAATATAATAGAATCTACTAATAAAAACAGTGGCTGCATATTTTGGTAGGCTGTGGCTCTGAATGTCTAATTCACAGTGAATTTTCTGTTAAATAAACCTTTTCAAGGTATGCTAGTAACCTGGGAGGGAGTTGCCCTCCTATCCCCCTTAACAAAATGGCACATTTTTGGCACCCCATCACCCACATTTACCCACCTTTATGATGATTAAGTGATGGAATATTGTCTAGTGTTCTGACTGCATCATATTAAGGCATTTGGTTTGAGTAAGCAGCATAAGCAGGGAAATAATGAACTGTGTTGTTGTCTACTTTTCTACATTTGTCCCTGCTTTTGCTCAGTTCTGCAGCTGCCATGGAAGTTACGAAACAATTGATTTGATGCATATTCTAATCTCTAGCATTAGGATCTCTCATTAGTGTTCTGAATTGGATTCAGAGTTGTGAGATATGCCCCTATGCATGGCATCCTGAACAGGACAGACTGGGTATTGATTGTTATACTATGCTGTAATGTGCAGAAATATGCTTTTTACCTCAAATCAGGAATGAGTAAATGGTAGATCCCATAGATGTTCTACAACTGCAACTTCCATGATGCTTTGCCATTCTCAAGCCTAACATGGCTTCATGGAAGTTGTAGTCCTAAAAGTCTACCATTTGTTGCCTACTGGGATTATCTCTAAAACAAGTCATTGGGGAACCAACTTGTAATGAGGCCATGCTAGATTTAGTGTTAACAAATGGAGATTTGGTATCAGATATTACTGTAGGTGAAAGTTTAGGATCTAGTGATTATCAGTCAGTGTGGTTTAATATTAGAACAGTGACTGAGTCACACCACACAAAAACAAAAGTTTTAGATTTTAGGAAAACAGACTTTTCTAAAAATAGAATATGTGTAAAGATGTCCTTATCAGACTGAAGCACTTTAAATGGAGTCCAGGAGAAATTAAATTATTTAAAAGTTACACTTCTGAAGGCAACAGAAAATGTCATTAGGTTTGTCAGTAAGTGCAAAAAAATGAAGAAACCACTGTGGTACTCTGCAGATGTGGCCAAAATAGTAAAAAAAAAACAAAGTTAGCATTTAGTAATTATAAAAAAAAAATACAGAGTGAGGAAGGTAGACAGATCTATAAGATTAGGCAAAAAGAGGCAAGCAAGTAATAAGATCATCTAAAGCACACACAGAAGAGAGAATAAGTCAGTAAAAAAGGGGGATAAAACATTTTAGATACATAAATGAGAGAAGTAAAATAAGGATTAGTTAGATTAAAAACAAAAAGAAGGAAGATATGTAGCAGTGGATAAAGGTCTAGCTGACTGCCTTAATTAATATTTTTGTTCAGTATTTACTGATGAAATTTAAGGAAAGGGACCTCAGTTAGGAAAAAGGACAAATGAGTCATTTGTTACGTGTGAGCTTACAGAGGAAGAGGTTCTATTTCAACTGTCAAAAGTAAAGACAAATAAGTCAATGGGGCCTGATGGAATACACCCAAAGTTATTAAAAGAGCTTAGTGGCGTACTAGCAAAACCATTAACGGATTTATTTAACCAATTATTGTTAACAGGAGTAGTCCCAGAAGACTGGAAATTAGCAAATGTTGTAAGGTAGTAAAGAGGAGTTGGGCAACTATAGGCCAGTAAGCCATACTTTAGTAGTGGGGAAAGTAATGGAAACCATGTTAAAGGATAGAATTGTTGAACATCTAAAATCTTTAAGTTTGGATTCCAATATCATTGAAGGAGTTAGGCAGTGGCTGAGTGACAGGCAACAGAGGGATGTAGTCAATGCAGTATATCCGAAGCCAGGTCTAGTTACCAGTAGGGTACCTCAGGGATCTGTACTTGGACCTATACTCTTTAATATTTTTGTTAATGATATTGCAGAAGGTCTTGGTGGTAAGATATATCTTTTTGCTGATGATACTAAGATATGTAACAGGGTTGATGTTCCAGGAGGGATAAGCCAAATGGCTAATGATTTAGGTAAACTAGAAAAATGATCATAGTTGTGGCAACTGACATTTAATATGGATAAGTGCAGAGTATAGAATATTTGATACCCTATTAACCTCAACATATGAGGAAAGGGATTTAGGGGTGATTATTTCTGATGACTTAAAGGTAGGCAGACAATGTAATAGAGCAGCAGGAAATGCTAGCAGAATGCTTGGTTGTATAGGGAGAGGTACTAGCAGTAGAAAGAGGGAAGTGCTCATGCCATTGTACAGAACACTGGTGAGACCTCACTTGGAGTATTGTACACAGTACTGGAGACCATATCTTCAGAAGGATATTGATACCTTAGAGAGGGTTCAGAGAAGGGCTACTAAACTGGTTCATGGAAAATTGTGTAGATTGTTCTTATCTGGTATCCCATTCTATGTTTCTGTGTTTCTATCTTGGGGATTCACTATTTGCCCAGTTCTGCTCTAGTTTGATAGTTAAAATAGTCATCTAGAATTTAAAAAAATATATATTTAAGGTTTAACCCCTTAAGGACCAAACTTCTGGAATAAAAGGGAATCATGACATGTCACACATGTCATGTGTCCTTAAGGGGTTAAAACATTAATATTGCTAAAACTATAAAAAATAATCTATGAGCAAAACAGCAAAGGTTATCAATTAAAGATTCCAAGTGGATGTGAAGCTTTCAAAAAGCCTTTTATGTACTGTGGAAATGTATTAATTTTGAGATTTTCACTCAATTTATTACATTTTTATTCAAGTCAAGTGGTCAGGAACATCAAACCAGAAAGGCTATAACAATAAACCTGGCACTGTTTCAGAAGTTGGTTACAACCTTTGCTTCAATAAATAACCCACTTACTTGCTTGTTCTAAACCGAGTAACTTATGAATAGAAATTGGAAATGTGAATCAGTTGCTTTTAGTAAAAAAAAACTAATTAGGGGATTTTCACCCAAGCTGGATATCTGACCCAACATTTCAATTGGTTGCTAAATTGATGCAACTTGAATTTCAATGGATAGACCACACTAAAAAAAAAAAAAGAAAATGTATAAACCGGCCTAACTAATAGAAGAACACTAGGTGGCGCTCGCATACTGAGCTTTTCTAATATCCTTGCATTTCAAGCTGAACAAACATCAATGTGGCTAGTTTTCACAGCACAACAAATATATGTAAGCAGTAGAAATTTAACAATGAAAGGGATGAACGTAAAGGCAAAGTAAATCTCTTTTGCTGCATTATTCATATCTGCTAATGCAATAATTAGAAATATTAATATATAAATAATAATAAATATATTATAATATTTATAATAATAAGTACTATGCTTTCATTTATTACTTCTCACATCAATGCATTAGCAGGCTGTTTCCTGAGGAGGAAATACACAACAACTAAACAAAACAACAACAAAACTGAAAAAAAAAAAAGTAGATTCGTTTTTTAACCCTCTCAAATCTCAGCAGAGCACCCTAGTCATACTCTCAGGGTTAATGATTAATCTCCCCTATAATTACAGGAGATCATTCTATATCAGACTGGAGTAGTGATTGTGTTAATAAAGAGAGGCTTCACAGCAGTAAGAGGGGTCTAAATATACCTGTAAGTGCAGCCTGTCTGTCTATGATGCAGTGCCTAACTAGGACGTACACTTGAATCCAATCACTATCTTGCTATTTTTTTTGCCAGCCTTTCTATTTAAAAAAAAAAAAATGCCATCTACTGATACCAGAGGAATATTTTGTTTTCATTTGGAATCTGGATTTTTTTGCAGCATAATTCTGAGAAACAGAAAGATTAAAAAAAAAGCAAATAGCCCACAGAAAGTGCTTAAATAAATAGTAATATGCATTGGAAGACCTACTTCACATTCATCTTATGCAATTAGAGCTATAACATTTGGCAGTTCAACAATCACTAAAGGGAAGGCTGTATGCAAATAGACTATTCTCCATCTCTGCATCTAGCTCTTTCTGACGCTGTTTTGGATTCCACTTTTTTAATGATATGGTGCAGTGGGTAACTTAAAATTAATTACAAGGTTCTTTGCTAACAAGGGGAGTGGGGGGCAGTGCTATTAAATGTAGTTAGTATTCAGGAAGCCACCTGCGCTTGGCACTGTTTCTCTCTAAAAGGCAGACTACATTTCATGTCTAAGGGATGATACACTACGTCTACTTGCCCCAGGCACACTGGGACTTGTATCTTCTGTACCAAGTGCTATTTGGAGAAAAAACAGGCAAGTTTACCCACCAGGCCAATAGCACAGGCCACCAACAGGTACTGTATGATGTTTTTACTGCTCTAATGTAGGGGATGCCAAAAATGAAGGTCAAATATATATTATATATTTATTAAATATTTTTGTTAATTTTATTTCCATTTTTTTTATCAGTATTACAATATGGCATGTATTTTATGTGATTATATATATAAACACAAACATACATATAATATGGGTGTAAATGTATGTATATTCAGGAAAGAGTAGGTGCACTCACAGGTCTTTTCTTATATAATCTTGTGGATGCAATATTAAATGTTTATTTTCATTCTTTTGATAATTTCTTTATTTGATATAGTTTCTATCAGCATAATATTTATTTAATATTAGTAGACTCTTTTTTTTTCTTTACAAATACAATTTGCATTTGCTAACCCATTTTTTTTTTAAATTTTTTTTTTTATTAGACTATGTGAATTTTACAACATAACCGTAACAAATAAGTGCTACTTTATATCAACCGACCTTTTAAGAATAAACTGCTTTATCTGTTAACTAAAATTTTGGCATTCCTAAGCCTAGGTGGAAGTTTGAGCTATACAGATAATAAATAATTTCCAATAATTAACAAAAGCACTTAAAAATAACTGACATGTATACAAAGAATATTCATTTTTTTTTTAAAGTTGAAGTGGAATGAGTTTACTCTCAAGCCAGTTAATTTAAACAGTATCTATCTGTTTTAGATATTTGCTGTGTATACTTAAACTGGTTAGTTTGAAAGTTGTAACAAGACATATGATTTATACGTTTTCTATCAGTGATTAATGCGCCTTAATTAGCTAATCTCAAATCTATTATTTACAACAGATGTAGACAAAACGATAGCTACCTATACAACTGTTCAGTCAAGTAAAATTGCAAAATGTGAAGAAATGTAAAAATGCATGCATTTATAGATCGAAAACCTTTTAAGGCTAATACAATCTATACAATACATTGTTTCCACAAATGTTATATATTTTTTTATTTAGTTTAAGTAAGTGTTTTATTTTTTTACAATATTGAAAAATAATATTAATTAAAAATACCTTTTTTATTTTTTTATTGTAAATTTATTATTTTTCGTTCAAATACATTCTTATTTTTATGATTTGTAATGAAGACCTTGAGACAGAGGAATTTAGTTACAGTTTGTGTGATCTCATTTGCGACTATCGTTGTGTAAATATAGTTGGAAAAAATTTAGTTTTATATATATATAAATATATATATATGTGTGTGTGTGTGTGTATGTGTTATATTTTTGAAGTAGCGTGTCCAGTTAATAAATATGAATTCCACTGTTGAATGTTAAAAACGTGCAACAAAGCACAACTGATATGATATAATGATATAAAACGGAATAATTAAAACCATTGCAAATCACTGTTTATTCTTTGCGTTCTCAAAAAATACATTTCTCGTTTAAATAAATAGCAGTAAATAATTTTACAATAAATACATTATTGAGACAATATTTATTATTCATTTTATTTTTTTAATGAATAAAAAAATTATATTTACGGCACCACTTAGCAATAGTTTAATATTACTAAGACTACTGTATAATTTGCACAGCTACGTGGGACATGAAATATAGAATCATGCAGCATGTGGGGCAATCTACATTATGTCACATGAGTTTTAATTACTCATTTACTAATTTCTGAAATATTGAACACCATGTAACATGATAAATAACATATGGTTGTCCGTAGTTCCACACAAAGGTTAACATTAATCATAAAATAATAATTATTATAGATGTTCCTGACACAGCAACATGTATGCGTATATAACATTATATATATATATATATATATATATATATATATATATATATATATATATATATATATATATATATATATATAATGTTGCCCCCCTCACGTGGCAAATCCCTCCCCCTTTCCTAAAATAAATATTCAATACTTTCACTTTTAGCAGCAAAGCATAATAGGAACACTTTGCCCCCTTGCGGTCCACTGCACCCCAAGATGCTTAAAAAAATTAATTATTCCTGAAGTGGGGGTTTAATTTGAAATCCTTTTTTCCCCAAATAAATATGATGCATATTTATTGCAGGAGAACTCTGTATGTATGTATATGTGTGTATGTATATATATATATATATATACCCATATATGCATACTATTATTATTATTATTATTATGTGTGTTTATATATATATATTTATATTATATTTATAATCTACTATTTATTTTCAAATTTGAAAATATGTGTAGCTGTCTATAAATATTACTAAGCTTTTAAGAAATGCAATAGAAATTCATAATTATGTTCCATTTTTCTCTTCATTTAAAATCTGAATAAATGGCATCTGTTTAATTTAAGCAATAAATACCCTGGATCTTTGTCTTTTTGGTCTCATCTCTAAAGATTATTAATCTCTGCTGTATTTCCACAGTAAAGAAATGGATTAAGACTGGTATCAAGGATTATTCCTTCATGCCACACAGATGGAGCCATACTGTACACAAAAACACAAAGAAATCTGTGTGTGTGTGTTTAGTGGTGGGGGTATGGGCACGTGTTAATAATTGAATAAAACAGATTAATTTGTATCAATATATATATATTTTTATATACATTTCTTTTTCTTTTTTTCTTAAATCCATTTAAAGTTTACTAGATATTCGTTAATGTTTTGGGTTTCTAGGGTGCATATTGACAGAAATTTAAATTGTTTGTTTGCAGATGAGAACAGATTTGCAATCCCCAAAACACAAACACACAGTAACATAGTATACCTCAGATGTCGTGCATAAAAAAATGGTTTATCGATTGAAATAATAGAAGCATTATTTTGATTTGTCCTGACATGATGGCTGATTTATAGATCCCCCCTCTGCATTGATTTCTGTGTGTTGTCCATTCACATGGAAATGATAAAATCTCACCAAAATGCACTCTCGTGTTAATCAAGAATGCTAGATACACATTAGAAAAACTGCCATTTTATTTATGGTTTGTCCTGGCCATGGGGGTTTACTCAAAGTATTGTATGTGCCTTGGATTGACTTTTTGATACATGTGTTTTCACTTTACACTTTCAAGTAACTGTAGCAGACAATAGTGTGAGAGACATTTAGAAATATAAGGAGACAGACCTGCATATGTGTTTCATTTCTCTGGGACAGAGGGAGAAAGCAAACTGCAAAAGGTTTGTAAGAATACATACAGAAACATTCAAGTTCAAGGCTGGGACGCTGAGAAAGAAAAGAAAGGGGACATTATATATATGAATACTGATGAAATATGTGTGCATGTGTTTTTGTGTGTCTGTGTTTGTGTGTGTGTGTGTGTGTGTGTGTGTGTCAGGCATAGGAGAGTAGATGTATTGGGTGAAGGGAATTCAGGACAGATTAGTGTAGTTAGTCATTACAGACAATAGAGGATATTCCCCAGGTATCACTGCTTTCCATTCTCTACTTTGCCATCCCAGGTAGGTAACTGTATAGGAGCATGTATGGTGCATATATTGTCACATGACATCAGCACACAGATTGTATGACTAAATAAAAGCTTCAGGCAGGTAAGTGCTCATTTATTGTATTTTAATTGTCTCTGCTTTGTGTATGTGTTACCCAATGAATGTCTCTCCAGGGTTCAAATACAGGTTCTTTTTGGTGAACAGGGAAAGAAGGATCTAAATGGTGGAGTAAGGTTTTTGTTTTTTTCAAGGGCATCCTGCTTGTGTCATGTGGAGCACACCATATATTCTTCATTGATCTGGCAGATTGGACAAAAAGTAAAAGGGGTGGCGTGTGGATTTAATGGCAGTGAAAGTATTAGAGGGGATCAGATTGAGAGAGGGAGAGAGAGATTCTGAACATCTGTCTAATGCAGCCAATACAAGTGACATTAGTGATATTGGAGAGAGCAAGTCTGCAGCCCAGTGAGCTGGGATTAGAAGGGCATCCTCAATCCGATTACAGACTGCTTCCCCCATGCCAGCCACACTGCATACACAGCCCAGACCTCCTCTCAATACAATAACAGGAATCTGAATAGTTAACACCTTGCAAGCCAGAAGGTGCAATGCTTTATCACTTATTGATTCACTGATGTGGAAATTTTTTTTTCACTAATTCTCTAAAGATTTGGTCAAATATATATCAACACACAGAAATAGCATCAACATTAGAATATTATATTAGACTATGTAGCACTTTCATCGCTCCATGTGCATAATGTGTGTGTTTATATGTTCGTTCTTTCTCTCTCCCTCTTTCTTTCGCTGTGTGCAGACTGTCACAGTATACAGCTTAGCAGTCTCTGTGTTTTTGAAGTGCTGTGTCCCCCTGTCACAGTATATAGCCTAGCAGTCTCTGTGTTTTGCAAGTGATCTGTCCCCCTGTCTCAGTATATAGCCTAGCAGTCTCTGTGTTTTGGAATTGCTGTGTGCAGACTGTCACAGTATACAGCCTAGCAGTCTCTGTGTTTTGGAAGTGCTGTGCCCCCCTGTCTCAGTATACAGCCTAGCAGTCTCTGTGTTTTGGAAGTGCAGTGCCCCCCTGTCTCAGTATATAGCCTAGCAGTCTCTGTGTTTTGGAAGTGCTGTGTGTCCCTGTCACAGTATACAGCCTAGCAGTCTCTGTGTTTTGGAAGTGCTGTGCCCCCCTGTCTCGGTATATAGCCTAGCAGTCACTGTGCTCTGAAAGTGCTGTGTCCCCGTCTCAGTGTATAGCCTAGCAGTCTCTGTGTTTTGGAAGTGCTGTGTGTCCCTTTCACAGTATACAGCCTAGCAGTCACTGTGTTTTGGAAGTGCTGTGTGTCCCTTTCACAGTATACAGCCTAGCAGTCTCTGTGTTTTGGAAGTGCTGTGTGCAGCCTGTCTCAGTATATAGCCCAGTAGTCTGTGTTTTGGAAGTGCTGTGTGCAGACTGTCACAGTATACAGCCTAGCAGTCACTGTGTTTTGGAAGTGCTGTGTGTTCCTGTCTCAGTATATAGCCTAGCAGTCTCTGTGTTTTGGAAGTGCTGTGTCCCCCTATCTCAGGATACAGCCTAGCAGTCTGTGTTGTGGAAGTGCTGTGTCCCCCTGTCTCGGGATACAACCTAGCAGTCACTGTGTTTTGGAAGTACTTTGTGTCCCTGTCTCAGTATATAGCCTAGCAGTCTCTGTGTTTTGGAAGTGCTGTGTCCCCCTGTCTCAGTTTATAGCCTAGCAGTCTCTGTGTTTTGGAAGTGCTGTGCCCCCCTGTCTCAGCATACAACCTAGCAGTCATTGTGTTTTGGAAGTACTGTGTGTCCCTGTCTCAGTATATAGCCTAGCAGTCTCTGTGTTTTGGAAGTGCTGTGCCCCCCTGTCTCAGGATACAACCTAGCAGTCACTGTGTTTTGGAAGTACTGTGTGTCCCTGTCTCAGTATATAGCCTAGCAGTCTCCGTGTTTTGGAAGTGCTGTGCCCCCCTGTCTCAGGATATAGCCCAGTAGTCTGTGTTTTGGAAGTGCTGTGTGCAGACTGTCACAGTATACAGCCTAGCAGTCACTGTGTTTTGGAAGTGCTGTGTGTTCCTGTCTCAGTATATAGCCTAGCAGTCTCTGTGTTTTGGAAGTGCTGTATCCCCCTATCTCAGTATATAGCCTAGCAGTCTCTGTGTTTTGGAAGTGCTGTGTCCCCCTATCTCAGAATACAGCCTAGCAGTCTGTGTTGTGGAAGTGCTGTGTCCCCCTGTCTCAGTATATAGACTAGCAGTCTCTGTGTTTTGGAAGTGCTGTGCCCCCCTGTCTCAGGATACAACCTAGCAGTCACTGTGTTTTGGAAGTACTTTGTGTCCCTGTCTCAGTATATAGCCTAGCAGTCTCTGTGATTTGGAAGTGCTGTGCCCCCCTGTCTCAGTATATAGCCTAGCAGTCTCTGTGTTTTGGAAGTGCTGTGTCCCCGTCTCTGTGTATAGCCTAGCAGTCTTTGTGTTTTGGAAGTGCTGTGTGCAGCCTGTCTCGGTATATAGCCTAGCAGTCTCTGTGTTTTGGAAGTGCTGTGTCCAGCTTGTCTCAGTATATAGCCTAGCAGTCAGTGGCGTACTAAGGGGGGAGCGGCAGGGGCGGTCCCCGGGTGCCACTCACTAGGGGGGTGCCCGGGGTGAACTTTCACAGGGCGGCATTCCCAACTAGCAGCAGCAGGTCCTCTGTTCTCGCGATCCGCGAGAGCGTTGCCATGGCTTGCCATAGCAACCCACAGCAACGCTCTCGCGGATCGCTAGAACAGAGGACCCTGCTGCTGGATGGGAAACGAGGATGCAGAGTTCTGGGCCCCTTTACTGCCCATCTAATGCTATGCCATCGGACCACCAGTCGAGGAGGATGGGACAGGCAGGTAAGTGCCAGCACTTATTTCACACAACATACACACACTATACACACACTGCATACACACTACACACGGCACACACTATACACACACTGCATACACACTTCATACACTATACACACACTGCACACACTATACACACACTTCATACACTATACACACACTGCATGCACACACTATACACACACTATACACCCACTGCACACACTATACAAACTGCATCCACTACGCAAACACACATACTTATACATGTGTATCTGTATGTCTGTGTATCTGTATGTGTATGTGTTTGTGTGTCTGTGTATCTGTAGGTATGCGTCTATCTGTATGTGTGCCTGTGTCTCTTCCTGTATGTGTCTGTATCTGTGTATGACTGTGTTTCTATTTAACTGCATGTGTGTCTGTGTATCTGTATGTGTGCCAGTGTGTGTATATGTGAGTATATGTACATACATCTCAGCATTTCGTCTACACTACACACAAATACAACCCTGCATCCAAATGTCAACACTACATAAAAGGACACCACCATATTCAAAAACCAATACGTGGAAACACACCCGTACATTCACTCACACAAACTCCATACAAAAACATGCTTACGTTAAAAATATACAAACACTGCTCAGTGCCAAATACATTAAAAAAATGTGCAGTTGTTTTTTACATTTAAAGTTGGTAAGGGGTGGGGGGGTGCCAAATAAAGGATCCGCCCCGGGTGCCAAATGCTCCAGGTATGCCCCTGCTAGCAGTCACTGTGTTTTGGAAGTGCTGTGTGCAGCCTGTCTGGGTTAGATTGCTAGAGTCCCCCAGTAATTGCTTTGCATTTAATAAAAGGGTGAGAGAGGAATCCTCCCCATGGCTGTGTAAAAGGCAGAACACGTTTCATTACATCATTGGAAGGAAGTAATGTACAGTCTGAGTGGGCACTGGACCGTGTTATGGGCATCATGCAGCTAAATATCTCCCAAAATCTACTTGTTAGGAGGAAATTGAGCATAAAGATACTGGGGAATTAAGGGACCCCGGCAGGGAAAGGTTAATAGATATTACTGTGCGTCCTGTAGGGAAGGAAACTACTTTTCCTGGAGTGTTCTAAATGATTATAATGAATGCACTGGGTATCTAATAAACTCTGCTGTCATCCTGAGGAGCACTGTACATTTCCTATTGTAATAACCCCATTCCTTCCTGTTTCTCTGTGTCATCCTACTGCTTTGTGTCTCTTCCTCTCTTATGTTTATAATTTCTCATTCCCAACTTCATGTCTGTCTGTCTGCCCATTTACTAAACAGCGAGTTCTGTGACTTCAGATTAGAATTTTATCGCAGCTGCACTATGTCTGTGTGTTCTCTCTTGTTCATTCATAGCCTGTCTGTGCTTCATAAATGCTTATATGTGTGCATTAAACTCTCATTCAGACATTTTTAGCCATTTGTTTACTGGCCGGTAAAATGAATGATGTCCATATGTCCATATTGTATAAAAATAAATTGCATATTGAATGTAGTTTTTACATGCACTTTGTTATTTATTATTTGTCATTCAGACATTTAATTAGAATGGAGGGGTTCCTCTTTGCATAATCCCCAGTGTGAGATCATTTAATCCCTAACCCCCATCCGACTGCCTGGGGTACAATGGGCAGTGGCAGTGGGTGAGGGTGTTAAATATCAGAGGAGCACAGCAGCCACCTGCAATAGTACTTCCTATGTCCCTCACATATGTGCAGAGGATGGGAGTTACAAAATAAAGTCAATGGGGTTAAAAATAATGCCATCCTTCTAATACCTGCCCTTTAGGAACAAACCTGTACACCAACTAAGGAACAATGGCTTGATAAGATAGAAGAGATTTAAACTGCAGAAGTGATTCAGGCGTCTATTCTAGGTAACACCACAAAACATGTAAATGCTTGGTACCCATGGTTAGATTATTTATTGCAGTGTAATAATAAGTTTAACGATACAGAGGTAACTCAAAATTTAGGAGTTGATGGTGAGCAGGAAATTGTGATATAATAATCCTTTGTTCCAACTACTCTTATAAATACGACTTAACTATCTACTTCATCTCCAGTTTCAATCTCTCTGTCTTTTATTTGACTTTGTTTTATTTATTTATTTTATTGTTCCTTTCTTCTTCCATTTCTTACTCGAGGAAAAACTGCAACGTACTACGAAATTTATTTACTTCTAAACTGACATACGATCCAAAGTCTATAGAATCAACAAAACAATTTAACACGATGTAAAGTGTGATACCAACTGAGCCGTTTCCTTCTTTTGAGGAGCAAATTATTTAGTTTATGCCTTCTTTCAATTTGAGAGATACATTTACTACAGTAATTTGTTGACCTGATATGGACAAATCAAAGAAGGATGCTATTTCTTGTGACATGTATGAAAATAAAATAATTTGCTATATGTCCTTAAGTTATAAACCAACATATGTTTCTCTGTTATACATAGTAACATGATAATATGCCTTGATACACTGCTTGACTTATTGTAGTCTTTAAAATATTGGAATAAGTTATTGTTATGAAATGTTATATCCTGTAATACTATCTTGTTTAAAAAAAAAATTGATTGGGGCAAAAAAATAAAAAAATAAAGCCATCCCTATAACCTGGGCTCTGGTTGGGGACAAATAGTAAAGGGGCGTGCACAAGACTAGGCATGGTGGGAGGGGCTAGAAGAAAGGTCTATTTTTGTTGGAATTTGAGGCACTCAAAGGGTTAACTTCACATGGGGTGCACATTTTATTAACAATATTAATATTAACAAAATTCAGATGAACTGAAAGGTCTCCACAAAAGTAAATTTATCAAGAACTCAAAATGAAAAAAAAATATATATTCACTAGGAACACTTCAATCAAGCCCCCCCCCCCCTATATTACAAATCCCTTTCCTACCACCCTCCCTCCATCTATGATTCCCTCCCTCTCTCTCACCTCTATTCTCCCACTCATTCATTCATTCCTTCTTTTGATTATATGTAGTAAACTATGTGTGTTGTATTAGTTGAGTTAATTTTGTTTTACATACAATTTTAACATTTGCCTTTGTAGATCTCTCACTCTCTTTATATATCGACTCTATTTATCTGCCTCTGGTTCTCTGTACTTTTATTGTTTGTTCTAATTGTTGTGTTATTCATTGTCTACCAGGATAGGTAGCGACCTTTAAGTAGGAGGTAGTTTGAGCTATTTTGATGACTTATAAATTTGTATTACAAAAAAAGTTAGTTTTTTTTTTTCAATGGCTACAATTTTAATATCAACTGGCGTGCAGTTTTCCAGACAGAATGTTAGAACAAAGTTCTTCTGCACTAGAACCCACTGTTTAGTGAGTAAACCCCTTATAGGACAAAGCAGTTTGCGGTCTGCTCAAGTAACAGTTAGGAGGAGATTACTTCAGAATTGACTTGCAAACTTTGAATTAAAATAACCACAGCGAAACAAATCCAACTTTATGAACTGGAGGTTTTTTTCCCATCCCCGTCTAGTCCGTCACATTAAAGCAACATTGCAAAACTATATAAAATTAAACATATACACGCTCATTCGCTATTCCAGATGAATTCAAAGTGAATTTCAAATTCAAGGACAAAATAGACAAATTGGAAAAGTTAGCTATATTTTCCATTCATCTACTTTGGTCTTAAATTTGAAATTTACTTGGATTCACCTTGAATTCTCACTTTAGTGAATAACCCTGGGAGAAGATTATTTCACTGAGCACCAATCTATAGGGCCTAGGCATTGAAAACCGTATTGCAAAATGTTCAACTGGAGCAACCTTTTCCTGCTGCAAAAGGTAGGCAACAATTACTGATCTGCAAAAAAATGTACTTCATTATGGTCACAGCTTGTGTTCAATACAATTCAGTGTTGTGTAAATAAATTCAATGGGTAGAGGTGCGCTTACAGTATATAAGTAAAGGTTTAAATTTGTTTGGGACTTGTAAATACGGTTAACAAAGTGCTTTAACGGTACTGATTAATACAAAAACAAACAAACCGCTCAGTGTGCTTGTATCAGGGAGGATTTTAAGCTAATACAACCAAATTGCAAAATTTAGACCAACATCTTTTTTGCCTAAATTTTGCAAATCATGGTTTTGTGAATAAAGCCCTTAATCAAAATATGTACATCCGTGGTTAGAATAGTAATGAAGAATCTTAGCAAAATTAAAAGTACATTTATATTACAGTAAAATATTTCAGTAGATCTTACTTTTTCATCCATCTCACTTTTATTTTTTTATGCAAATTACCAGTTAAGTATTTTGAAGAATATAATTCTCAGATAATACACAAATTGCATCTTATTTAGTTCTATGGCTACGTTATATGATGTCGGACATCTAAGAGATTTTTGCCAACACTGAGGGGTTTATTTAATGATTACTGAGTATTCAGTGACAATAATAACAGAGTTCTGACAATATCTGAGTTGGAGACTTTATCCACATCAGCTATTTTTCCTGACCTTGTGCAAGTTGGCCTTCAATTCACTTTAGTTTGGTGTTTAGTGAAAATTGCCTTTTTGAACAGTTAAAAACACAATCTACAGGAGTTTATTTGGTAGTAAGACTAAATAAGTGCTACAATTATAGACTTTTTCCAAATCAGCTACTTTTTCCAAATCTCTTAAAGCAGATCTGTCACTTTTCAGTATTTCACAAAGATATCATCTTTACAAATACTGAATAATATCCAAAGTTCTCATAAAACAAAGTAGGGACTATTTTTTTTCTTATGGCAAAGCCTGTGGTTGACAAAAGGAGGAGCTCCTCTGTTAACTTGTGTCCAGTCCCAGCAGCCATCACAAATGACAGCTGTACAATTCAGAAAGACCACAGGATCCTCCATAGACCTCATTGATGCACACTTGTGCATGCGCAATTGTAAAGCACCGATGTGGCACCTGCCAAAGAAATCTGCAGAGTTAATATGGCAGTGGTCGTGAAGGAGAGCATGAGGTATGTAAAACTCACCTCCCCTGCCCCCTAGGGCTACCGGACCCACACAGGATCTGTCCTTTTTCCGAATTGGAAAAAGAGAAAAATAGAAAATTCACAACCTTTTCTTATTGCTAAGTGGATGTGAATGTGCACTACATATGAGAACATGTTTGTACAGGTAAGGTGGTTACAGATAGTCTGCAAGCTATCTTTCTCTCTCTTTCAATACTAATCAGTACTAATTATTTTTGCTCCATAAGCTCATCCTGTCTGCCCCTTCTTCCATTCTCCAAAGTTTCCTTTTTTTGCTCCAAAGTGATTGCTATACATGATTACTGTATACAATACGACTGCCAGAAATTCTTGCTGTGCCAATAAACCACTGATTATGGGAAAATGAGTTATAAAAAGTATAGTAAACAAAACATCAGTCACTTCTTCATTTAATGAGAGTCATTTTGAATCAGTACAGATTGGAGGTTTGCAGTACCTTTAAATGTGAGTATTTTTATTTGTGTATTTTTCTTTTCCAAGTTTATTTTTGTTCATATTGTTTATATTTTTTTGTTGTAAATATCTATTTATTTCGACAAGAGGTCTTCCCGTCATTTTTTTTTTTTGTATGAGTCAAGCATAGCATAGAACAGCAGAGTACACGGCACGGAGGTCTGTATCAATTAAGAGTGAAGCCATGGAACTCGCAGGTTCCGTACACATTTAAACAGCATGTGAGACATGCAGGTCTCAATTATTATTGGGTTAGTTTTATGCCAGTTGGTGTTCATATTGTTTAATGTATACTGTATGCATTAGAAAATGTTAAATCTACTCTAGAGTCTCTATTTAAAGGGTTACTCCAACCATCGTGACCACATCAGTGATCTGAAGTGGTCATGTTGGTAGGAGCCTGGACGTACAGCATTCTGCTTGAAACAATGCACATCTAGAGATATTGTTAATTGTGCGTTGGCGGTTAGATGCATCCCCCGCACACATGACACTGCCAGCTTAGAACTCTGTTCCGTGCTGTCTAATGTTAATTCTGTGCATACTTAACATCTGTCATCAGCACACACTGCATGCTGCCGACAGATGTTAAAAAGTTCCTTTTGTTGGCAGAGTGCTTACAAGGGGAAGAAAGCTCACCCTCCCTGTGGGCGCTCTCTCCTGTCTCCCTCCATTGCTGGCTGGTTTTTGTTTTTAAAAAAGCAATAAATACCCCTCACACCTCTCTTTCCCTTAACCATTCCACTCTCTCCACCTCCCTGACGTACAGTGTACATTGTCTGTCAAAAGTGGTTCTTGCCATACCAGGTATTTCACAAATGATTCATTAACATTCTGGAATTCCCTGCAGGCATTAGATCACCACAACAACTAGTATTATCACAGATATCTCCATTTCAAATGGTATGTGTTGCAGTTGTGGCATGTATCATGCTGTTAATGCAGGGGTGGAAAAACTTTATTGATATGAAATCAGCTTTGCAAGTTGTCAGGTTAACAGTAATCTACCACTGTTTCAGCACTTCATTAACCTCTTCACTACCATGACTTTTTTATTGAAAAATATTTCATTTAAATAAAATTCTATTTTGTGTATATATTGCTTTGTAGACAAACGTAAAGTTTTTAAATATGTAAATTTACACCATTTTTATTTTTTACTTATTTAATCATCCATTATAAAAATATTTGGGAAATAAAAGCTTTAGGCAGCATGCAGTGTCATATATCTTGCGATAATTCACACAGGGTCTGAAATATTAGTATAAAAGCTCACATTCAGTAGGTGTGACAAAATTATATAAGTAAAAATGGTCAAAAAACCTTGGTTATAAGTATTAACAAGGACCCTTAAGGCATTAATAGTAGTAGTTTACTAAACATTCCAACAAAAAGTAAAAAGAATGTCTGCATAATGACCACATATAGGAAATTCAGTTAATTCATGTATTTCTAAAATAAAGGTATATAAAACTGTTGTAGTAAATCTCTAGAGTGCTAATGTAATGCTGTGTGTGTATGTGAGGTTTGCTGAGTGTGATTGTATGTGGAGTTGGTTGAGTGTGAGGGTTGTGAGTGCAATGTTCCTGCTTATCTTAATGCAGAGGAGGGTGTATAATCCCTGGTGGTCCCTGTGGGTGCTGCTAGTCACATCCCTGGTGGTCCAGTGGGGGAGCATGTGTTCTGCACCTCTGGTGGATGCAGACCACATAAACCCTCTTGCAGCCCAGTGCTCACTTAATGAGTAACAGTAATTTTATGGTAAACTGTTGGCCACACTGATCTATTCACTGAGCCTGGGAACCACGAAGGAGCACTTAAAGGCAGAGTAATTTTTTCAGGATGAGGGGGATCTGCATGATATTAGACAGGTGGTTATACCCACAGGCTCCCAAATATCATATATACAGTCATACCCACACTCTTAAATACAGACTGTCATACCCACAGACTCCCAGATATACATAAATGCAGTCATACTCACAGACTTTCAGATATACATATACACCATCATACCAACAGACTCCCAGATATACATACATTCAGTCATACTGGCTGTCATACCCACAGTCTCCCATACATACTTGTATAATACCATGTGAGGACACAGTATGTTTGTTACACTTTGAGATTAGTTTTGTTACAAATTGCAATTTATCCGAATTTGGGAAGACTGAGTGAGTGTTTAATTCCCAATCTCTGAGCCGAAATGTATCTGAATCATAAAAATGGAATGTGCTATGGCTGAGCGTATTTGTTTTTTTTTTTTTTTTTTGGTATTCTGCCTGTGGCAACAACAAAAAAGAGGCATAGTCCTGATATCAGGGTCCCGTTCCAATATCCCAACTTTGTTCCCGGGTGTCCCGCTTTTAGCGACAATAGGAGACTGTCCCAACCATGAACTCATTCTGCAGAGAGTGCTGAAACTGTGCTCCCTGCATAATCTGCTGTTGGCGGGCTGGTCTGTTTGATTGGCAGACGGTGTGGCAACTCTCCGGGTGCACCCAACTTTCTGAGCAGGGGGGAAGCCACACAGGAGTCCTTCTTTTATTTTTGCACTGGGGTCCAGTGGTTCCTAGTTACACCCTTGTCTGCTCACCAATACATAATTTTGTACTAATACCTTGCTTATATGTATTTATTATTATAGCAGTCAGGATGTTAACTCTGAGATAGAGAGGACTTTTGCATGTAGTGTTGTGTGACTGCACGTAGTGTTGACATTTGTTTGTAGCAGTGTGCTTGTATGACATTTTGCTGGGATGTATGCACAGATACACATATGCAGCCACACACAAAGTGACACAATTACACACATGATCCACACTGACACACACAGATACACACAATCTTACAAACATATACCTTCAAAGACACAGAGACACACACATACAAGTCACAGTTTATATATATTTAGCCGCCACTCTGCTTCCATACCTTTGGAGTGCAGGATGGTGGCTTCCCTGGGCAGGCCAAGGCTGATGGGAGTCTGAGGCTGTCCAGGCTGTCTGCAGTGCTCTCCATTGTACCCTCTCTGTGCCTTCTATGTCCTCCTAGCAAATGTAGTCTGTAAGCTGTGATGAAGTGATAGGAAGTCGCTTCCTCCCAAAATTGACTGCCATTGTTAATAGGGTCCAGTTTTGGTGCTAAAGGGCCACAGCACCCAACCAGGCTCGTGGTCAGACCTGCCTATCAACATCTGTGGGGCCTACCCTATGAGCTACAATGGTGGTAGTTCCAACGCTGGTCTGTGAGCTCCCTACGGGTGGATATTACTAAAATACAGTGGGATATAGAAATATTTGATTGCTACTATATTCCTTCTAGTTTATTGTGAAACTAAAATCAGGTACGTGGCACCAAAAAAAGTACATTTATTTAATTTAAATTTCTTCCACTTAATGCTTCAGAGAAATAATTTAGTACAATGCATACATTAATATACAAAACATGATTATTCTGTCTACTGCCAAAAAATAAAGTCACAGTGCTGCCTGAATTAAACACCAATAATCTGTATGTTTTATGATTACACATTTTATGGGTCATCGATAGTCCTCTGTCTGAAAACTCTCGTCCTAAGCAAAGGTGAAATATTTAAATTCCACAAATTCACATTCCTATTTGTTAACCCCTGGCAGCGAGAAGGCCTGACTTAATAATGTCCATGTGAGCTAAGATTACTCCGTGTCTGCTAAAGTGGCAAACCACACATCCTGTGCCAGAACATAAATTAAAGCGGAAGATTTTCCATATCTAGTTGGAAAAGGTTTAATTTACAGCTGTGCCGTTTAACACTCTTTGAATTCCTGCCTAGCTATGTGAATTGTCGAGGTACTTATTTGCGTAACCTTTATACCGTTTATAGAGGTTTTCAGGTGATAATTCATATTTGAAATCCATTAGTTTATTTAAATATTAGTCCTTTGAGAGACGTTTGCCTCTGTTCCCGTTACTTCAGACTCATGATACATCATTTTATTGAATATGCTACAGTTAACACCAAAGAAAACAAAAAAAAAAATACAGATTAGTATCTAAACTCTATTCCATTTATCTCTGCTGTCTTCTATATTAATGTATGTAAAGTGATTGGGTTAGGTAAGTATTCATGCATGTTATGACAAACGCCCTGTGGTCTGGTCGTTTGCCACAAGCTCCTGGAGGTTGAATTAATTGTATTATCTCTCAGTACAGAAACAGGCAATATAGCAAAACCCCAGAAATACCCCCAAAACACATAAAACCCCCCACAAAAGTTACACCCCGATCTGGGTGACCAACATAGCCCCAATCTGGGTGATTTTTGGATATCAGGGGGTGTAACTTTGTGTGAGGGTGACTGGTGACAGACTGTGATGTGGAGAGGCTGTAATTAGCCTCCCCACACTCACATAGTTTGTTTCTTTTTAGTGTTCCATTCCCTGGTGGTCCAGTGGCTGGCTCTACAGGTCTGCAGCTCCGCCGAGTGTGAGCTGCAGACCAAGTTATCACGAGCTCGGATTAGAGCGTTGCCATGGTAACCCGCAGCAAAGCTCTGGGAGCTCGCAAGTCCTCCATCACACAGTGTCATGGTCTTGATCAGGCTTATGACAGGGTTAATGTTTAAAAGTTTATTTGGGACTTGAGACATATTTACACACAAATTGCAAGCCAAAAAGGGAGGTAAGTAAAACAGGGAGAACAGAAAAGAGATTAAGGCAAATGTAAGTAGGATAACCTATAAACAGAATTATAAGTGAGGTTGACAGAGAACCTATAAATTAAATTATAGGCAAGAATAGGGAGTGACAATAGAAAAGGGAGTTTAGGCAATATGCTCCAGATAGGTTAGAAATAAGAATTAGGCAATTGTAAGCAGGGAAACCTATAAATGGAATTATAGGTAATATTGAGAGAGAACCTATAAATCAAACTATAGGTAAAAAAGAAAGGATAACAGAAATAGTGGTTTAAGCAATATGCCTCAGAGAGGTTATATACAGACAGATTATTTACAGATATTAGACGATAGTAAGAAATCCTATATATGAAAGTAGAGGATAGAGAAGTAAAACGGAACTAAACAGTAAAGTGTCAGAATAGCAAACAAAATAGTAATTTAGTGAATCAGTCCCCTGTTTGGATGGAGCAGTGAAAAGATAGGCAAATAACTGTTTGCAATATTGGTTATTTGTGTAATACAGGGTAATATGATACAGGATGGTAATAGCAAGCAGATTGGTAAGGTAGTCCAGGTTGGTGTGTAGCAGGATTGTAAAATAAATCAGGTTAAAATCACAAAGCAGGATAGTGGTATAATGCAGGTTGGTTTGTAGATTTGTTCAGGTTGAAACTAAAGTAGCCTGATCGAGTAGTCCAGGTTGATAATAAGAAGCTTGCTAGCAATGAAGGTTGGCAATGTAGATCGGCTTGGAATAAAGAGGTTTGGTAGAGAAGATATGGTTGATATCCAACAGGACAAGAACAATGCAGGTAAGTTCACAGGAGCCAGGAAACAGAAGTATTTTCAAAAAAACCATTGACTTCAATCTAAAGGCCCTATCTTGAGCAGGGTGTAGCCTTTTGTAACTTAAGTGATTAATCCAGGCAGGTGAAAATGAGTCTAGAAAAGTTAAGAGCTAATGGTTATGTAGGCCTCTAGTGGCAAAACATAGTCAAGGCGGGAACATAATTAAATGAAAGGGAATAAAGTTCTGTTATCATGGTTTCAAACCTGACACACGGTCTGTAGTTCTGCACTCAGTGAAGCTGCAGACTAGAGGCTCTCCCAGGACAGACTGATGGAGGGACCCGGCAGCATACAGGGAAAGCCGCCTGGCCCCTCCTCTTGTTGGGTTCTCATACACCTCTGCCGCCACTGCTGCATATATATGCCACCCCTGTTAAAGTGCTGCCTGGGGCCATTAACCCAGTCCGTCCTATGGACGGGCCGGCTCTGACTAGCCCCCAGCACACAATTACAAATGTCTTTGTATGTGCAGTGTTTCAAGCTTAAACACTGACTCCTACCACCATTACCACTTCAAATAAGTAATCATGGTGGTGGGAGTAACCCTTTAAATATCTTAACCACTGTGTGTCTGATGGAGAAGATTGTTGTTTCTGTCTGAAATGACAGGTGGCTGAACAGCAGTCAAAAAAAAAATGTAGTACCAACAATTGGGGCATGTAGAATATATTGATAAACTAGACTTTCTTATACAGCAATGCATTGCTCTTGCACAAAACACCCAATGACACTTTACTCAAGCCAGGAGCTTCCTCATTTCTTTCCTTTTCCTTAATATTATGGGGGGTCCTGCTGTATTAATTGTTTTAAGCTATCTGTATCATGAAAAGAGCTTGTTCATTATTCTAGGATTGTGAAGAATTACTAAAGGAACTAAAACAATTTATGCTTATGTAAATGAGTTCAAAAAAAGCTGAAGTTGGAGAATTTTTCCAGTTTTGAATTTTTGTCTAAACCTTTCAATTCTCTTACCAGTTCCACGCAGCTGTTGATTTAATGGAAAAAAAACCTTCACGTTGTAAGAGCAAGTTTAACAATCAAGTTACAAAATAGAGTTTAAAAAAAAATAAATCTTCATCATAATTTTGCGATTCATTTTTGATTGCAAATTTCACTGCAAACCACTATTGTTTTACTAGTGATACATCGATGTAGGCTCCCTCACCTTCCTGGCCCCCATTACTTGGCACTAGCTGCATCAATGACCGTTCTGCTTTTGTTACAACAGCTACTTTTATTTGTAACAATGTTTGTTTCTGTGAGTTTAATCAGATAATTTCTTATTTCCTTCTACTCAGGCTGCAAACTGTGTCCACAAAGACATTTGAAAGCTCCAGGACATTGTGATACGATGCTCAAAGACTTACTTAATTCTATATAGCTTAGGTACAAATGTGAGAATATTCTGGATCTTATCTGTTTTTAACCACTTGACTCTCGGGTTTCATCATAAGATTCCTGACCTAGTGATTGGAGCACATTACACAGTTGTTCTTTCAGTTGTACAAAGTACCGAGCTTCTGATTATTATTTATTTTTATAATTTGTTTGTATAATTATTAATATATATGTTGAACTTCATGATTATTTCATCAATCATTCTTTGTCTTAAGTAGATTCACTAAACACTTGTCTGTAAAGTCACAGCTACACAATACTACCTAAAATAATAAGAGATATATATGGAACTGTTTTCAAAGGCATCAAATTTTTTTCTGATTTTCACAAGACAATAGTGATCTTATTACCCACTAGTGACAAGTAATCAAACTGAAAAATATCAATGACTATATGTATTATTCATTTCCTAATCTGTTAGGATTTCACATAAAATGTTAGCTGTCTAAAACATACCATTAGAGACTGTAATACACAAATCTCCCAGGAAATAGGTTAGTATGATGTCTACAGGGAGATTATAGTAAATTGCTTTGTTTATTTATTATTATTAGTGATAATTAATTGGCACCAATATAAAGAAATCATTGTTCAAATGAGAATTAAATTAAGAAATTACATGGTATTGAAAGTTAGTATAAATATCTACAAGGGTAATTTTTAAAACTGGACTTCAGTGGCAATACAAGGTCATATGTCCACTATATTCAAAATCTCCGGCAAAGCATTTACTGCTGCTTATAAAATAGCAGGCAAAAACATTCTATTGAAGTTTCAGTTGGTGTTTAATATGATCACTAGAGACCACTTTGTATTGGCTTTGTGTATTTTTATAATGCTGTCTTATCACTTATATGACTAATGCAAATGTTTTAGGCATTTTGAACTTTTCAACATGTTATTTGAAGCTAATCCTTTCAATTCTCTATCTATTAATTTTGATTACTTGTAACTTTATTTTGTTATATTCTGAACTGCAATTTGTCCAAATTCAAGTTGATCGGGTGATCATCCAAATTCCCGAACCCAAAGTTGAAATGTAGCTGAATCACGAACCAAATGAAATACACAATTGATGAGCATGTTCATTTTGATTCGAGATTTAGAATTCCATGCACGGCACCAAAAATAGAGATGAATAATGGGGGGACGTGTGGGTGATGGTTAGGAAACAGCCACTAAAGCGAGAAGTGATCAATACGAAAAAAGAGGAGCTGTAAAAAAAGAAAAAAACAAAAAAACAAAAACAAAACAATCTCTCTAAATTTAGATATTTACCTAATAAATAGATAATGTATAAATACATATTATAGATTTGTTTCACTGCTCCCATTCTTTACCCCTCTATTGGTTACTTCTTCTTGCTTGATCTATGAAACTGATGGGAAAATGTGCTTGTTAGTGTACAATAAAACATATACATAATATTTATATTCCATATATAATTAGCAGTACACTGATTGGTAAATTATTGCCAAGAGAGAGAGAAACTGATTATGATCAACCGGAAGTTTCAAAATACTTAGTCACAACTCACGTAATATACATTTGCACCATAGCCTTCTTCAAGGAAAATTTAAATATGCAAAATTTTCTTTCTTTCATAAGTAAAAATGTGACTCAATCCTGTGAAAATAACACCTATGTTTACATGGTATTCAGTAGTCATAGGGATAAAACACATTTTCACTTTTCATTTAAGTAAAACAAGTTTTTGAAAGAAATTAAGCTGTGCTCCAACCGATACATTTTTTGGTAGTTGCTTTATTTTAAAATTTAATGCCAAAATAGCTGAATGGAATAATTATCCGAGTAGTTATGCTTCCAGTTTGGATACTTTGGTCTTAAAAGTGAAATTAATTTTGAATTCACTTTAAGTTTCTGTCAATTCTCTCTTTAGTAAATAATCCTGCTAGAGTTTATTTGTATGCCTTATTATTCTGTTTTAACCTTGATTACATTTAGACTAATTTGTACTGTATTTATTTTCATTATTTGTTGTTATTTTTATTTATTCATTTTAGATAATTTTACTCGTGATGTATGCTAGTATTATTAATTGTTATTATTATTTTATCATTGTTATTATTGTATATGTAGCATACAATTTTAAAATGGTAACATTACCCATTCTTAATTTGTATACGTAATATATTTTCTATGTACCTTGTTCGTACTGCATTTGTCCCAGTTTTTGTAGATCACCACAAAACATAAAATGTGTTACATTTTATTGAATGTAGTTGTTTTTACATAGAGCAATTCCTGTCCATTTGTACTGTATTTTCATGACAATAAAAGAAAACATATATATTTCTAATTATTATAAACTGTTACAATTTCTAATGTAGTAAACTTTAAACATTTTGGATCATATGATAAAAATAATCCAAGGGTTGGTTTCTAGATGGACAATAATGGATTGATCCAGGTGACTCATATATGAAGAACAATTCTGGAGTAAATCTTACATAACATTTCTCCCTCTCGACAATCTTTTGATAGAATGACACATCAGAGGCTTTCTGTATAGAGAAATATTCAAAAGTGAATGTTGATGCATGTTGTCTTAAAACTGTTTATGTTGTCAAAATGGTGATGTGTAAAATCATGTGACATAGGACTTCTTTGGTCATACACGTCCTTTGGGTTGTCGGGAGAGAAGCCCACATGGTTAGACAGAGGGAATATTTATTCTGCAAAGCAGAAAGAAGAGATAAAGAAGAAGAAGAAATGGAAAAAATATGATTTATAAATATGATTTAATATAAGATAGCTTTGTTACATCAAACATTCTTTACATGAATGTACCAATATATAATACATCTGGTATCAATGACACTGTTGTAAAATATTTGTTCTTTAATTTTTACAATAAATGAAAAATGATTGAATGAATTGAAAGGAATCTCCCTTGTAACAATGAAGAGAGTGTTGAAATGTCCAAAAAAATATAACATACACACAGTAAAAAAATTACTGTAAAGATGCAACTCAAACACTAATATTAGAGGAACGCGAACTATGTCAGGAATGCAAACCTGTACCCCTGACACTATAGTGTGAAACTAACTATTTAGGGCACCAGCTCTCACTTAGATCACAGTAAAAAAGTGTTTTTATTTACGTTTTGTCCCATGCTCCGACAATCTCGAGCTGGCCCAGCCTGGGTCCGCCTCCATGGCAGAGATCATCAATCTTGATGATCTCAGCTAATCCATTGCTCTCCCATAGGAAAGCAATAGAAGGCTATGGCGCATTGTACTAATCAGCATCTTTTCATAGACATGTATTGAATTAGATAATGGAGACATTAAACACCAATGGTGCACACTGTGCAGCATTGGACTAGGAAACATTTCTAGTGGCCGTCTGAGTGACTGCCACTAGATGTGTTACTATGCACCAATTTAAATACTGCCTTTTCTCTGATAAGATAGTGTTTACACTAAAAACCTGCATGGACAAGCTATAGATAAAAGAAACCACTACATTAAGCTGTATTAGTACTGGTGACTATAGCTCCTGTAAGGAAAGATCTCATCCTTTTGCATTACTCAACTACTTGTCATTTGTTCATTGAAAATTGAACATTCATTTTCAGAGGTAAACGTGTACAAGGTCAAGTGCACTGTACTTAAAAGGCACAGGCATTACATTCCTTCCTAATGGCTAAAGAAATATCTTTTGCAATAATACAACAAAAAAGTTAGTACATGTTCAAGTGCACGGCTCAAAAGAGCAAGTTCTACAATAATTTGGAACAAGACAAGAGTATATATTGTTTACTGTTTTAAAAACATCTTCTAATCTTATTCTTATACAAAAACGTGAAACCTCAACATTCTATTCCAAAGGAACATAAACATTATCTAAGAGACATTCTCTTCAAGTAAATAAAAAAAAAAATATATATATATAATATACATATAATATGTCAAAGAATTTGCCTACTGTGACAAGCAATGATAACATTCAAAATGTATTTACTTCATGTTTTGTCACACTAGTTTAGCTCTGTACGGCTCAAGCGGTGTGAAGCTCAATTTTTCTAGTTACCATCTTCACTGCCACAAATAAATTAGGTAAGGATGGAATTGTTTCATGGATATTGTAATAATGAAACAAAAAAAGAGAAATAGCTAATGTCATGGTACCTGCTTCTATTAACCACCCCTATCTACACGTTCTCTGACTGTGGTTTATTACTGCAAGCACGCCAATGGATGCTGTCATCTGATGCCCTCTTACAGTTCTGGTGTTATTTGAAAGAGAATGACACCATAGCATAATTCCAGTGTCATGTTTTGCACATTCTAGAGATGCAGAAATGATGCTAGTCAAGTTATTGCACTTTCTGTATAGGACATATCCACCTTGTTTCCTGTCTACTGTCATAGTTTTTGTTGCCTGACAGTGCAATCATTGTGTTACTGTTTTATGGTGTTGAACTCCTGGCTTTTTCCTGACTTTTCCACTATCTGTATTTCTGACCCTGACTGTTATATTCGTTTTGAAGCTCCTCTTGAGTCCTGACCTCGGCCTGTCTTGCCTTTGCTGTACCTACTTTCAGGATTGTCTCACCTACTCTTCTGTGTTAAGTCTGGCCCCCTACATTAAGGACTCTGTTCCTACGTCCTTTGAAACACGTCTCAGGTTTTGGATACTGTATAAACGTTATCCTGATAGCTAAGTATTGGTACAACGTGCAAACTGAAATCTAGATTTAGCAATCTCTATCTCACATAGTACTCCAATAACAATACTGGAAAGGTCCAGAAAGAGTAAGTCTTCCATGCCTTACAATGCTCAAAGAATAGTACAATTTCAATACCGTATGGTCTTAAATATAAACAATATCAATTCATTTAAAAAAAATATTAGTAGATTATTAATTAGAAATGAAAACACATTTTCCAACTGAATAAACAAATAACTTGAAAATGTGAAGCTAATGGTGAATTCTGTACATAGTCAAAATTTTTACATCGCTGTGTCAATAACAGAAGAGTGAGTTATTGCACTTAATTCCCATGCTATTGTATTTTCTATTTTATTCTTTCATACAATACATGCAACCTCATGGGACAATACTTTAAACTAATGTAAAGTGCATCTAGAATCACAGAAAATGTCATGTTTCCTCCTGCGGCTGCATCTAATGCAAGAAACATGTTAATCAAACTGCTTATGTATGGCAGAGATATGTTTGCTTGAGGCTGGTATATTTTCTGGATCAATTGAGACGACTGGTGAAGTACACAAGCTAGAAAAACCCCCACCTATTTTTATAATATTAAATTGTAATTCCCTTTCATTTGTGCCTTAGATTGTGTTCAATATTCTAGAATCCCATAGTATTTTTCATATTATAAAATAAATGAAAAGTTATTTAAGTTCTTTATTTCTAATTTATTATTATTGCAGATTAAATTGTATACTGCTCCCTGCAATACCTTCAGGCAGTACGTGCTTTTTCCAAAGGCAACAACGTGTACTGCTTGAAGACAAGATCCTAAAACTAGCTTAAATCCAGCTCAAGGAGGCTTGCTCATCATTATTTTGACTTATCTTATTAAGGATTTTACTGCCCCGTGTTATTTACCCAAATCACATTTTGCAGTAGAAGTTATGTGTTGCAGTACATTTAAATTCATACAAGAAAGGACCATGATCACAATTAATTGAAGACTTTAAGTAAATGCTACAAATCTTGGTTTAAGAGGCTTTTAGTTGATTTTTTTGGCTAGCAAATAAACAGAAACAAAAAGTAAATATATACTAGTGATGTGAATTTACATAGCTACCTCTTTAACACTTCTTATATTCATTAATTTGCTCCCTTGTTTTAGTAGCATTGGGGAAAAACAGTAATTGATGTAAACATGGAAGGAATCCAAACGTGACACTGTTTTTTTACAAGTCAATTTCAAAGGAACTGCGAACACAAGCAGACTCAATAAAACTGCTGAAAAAAGATCACATATTAAATTATTTTTAAAACAATTGAAATGCTGAATCACACACCGCTTAAATTCAGTGTGAATGTTGCCAGCTCAGTTGCTTGTTTGATTGTTGTACCTTTGAGCATAATTCATTGAACTGAAACTGTTCTTGTTTCTTTTTGATGTTGGAAAAAAAATATTCAAAGCTCTAGATTGGAATTTGATGTTGTGGTCGTGCAAAAACAAATCTTAAACTTGCATTTTATGAACAAAATTTGCTAGAAGTAAAATATTTCAAAATGTTGAAGAATGTGGTGCTGCCCTCTTCTGTTGTGTTGACTGAGTAGCATCAAGATGCTCCCTTCTCCTTGACAACCACTGTTATTATCCACCGAACAGGTATGTAAAGTACTGCTTAAATGCCCACTAATGATGCTTCTTGGGCTTTTATCTTTCCAAAATAGACTCACGTTAGGAAGAGCAGCAACAAAATGTAACCACGTCAAATGGAGAAAAATGAAAAGCAACATAAATGAACACTCCAGCGTTATTAATAAAAACCTGTTGAACTGATGATTCAAATGACTGGGTCCCCTTGCTCCCTTAAAATAGAAGTTACTTACCTCTAATCCGGTGGTGATTCACAGAGAAGCATTACTCCTCTTTGAGAAGCCCCCACTTCCCTCTTGTGTAAATGCTCAAGGTGAATGGGGAAGAGACCCTCCTAGATGTGTTTTTGACAGCTAGGATTGTTGATTTTTTTTCTTGAGATGAGCACTTTTATAAAATAGGATTGCATGGACAATGTTAACTTCTAAAGCAATTTAGCAAACTGGAGTGCTCTAGGGGTTTGAAGTGTCCCTCTAAGAGTAGATTCCTAATATGCTGGATAATCCTCTCCATCAATTTTAACCACCAAAAAGAAAAAAATAGACAGTGTAAGTTTCCAGTAATAGAACTATAAATATATTTAACTTGTAATGTAACATTGAATTAGAGTTTAGGATGTAATTTAGTTGCCAAAACTTGGTTTAAATCATCAGTTCAGGTGGCCAAGATCCTGTATTTACCACAGTCAATTTGTAAAACAATTTTAATAAAAATACCTGTGATGGCATGAGTTTGCCAGGTTCCTGTGGTCCTCTTTCCTTTTTAGGTGGAAACGGCTATGATGAATCATGCTATATATACTGGAACATTTTGGAGCATGAATGATGCAACTTCTTCAAAGTTTGTTTAAACTGAAAAGGGCCTTGATCCCCTTTTCTTGTTTTTTGAGACACTTAAGCACATTTGTAATAGTAGTTTTCTCTAATTTATACTCAACCCATATTTCAACTACTCCATTCCCCTGCTTGCTTTTTCCTGCAATAATTTGATTTTTTTTTTAGGTTATAGGGGATAAGAGGTTTTATATTCATTTGGAGACAACTGAAACTGGGAACAAGGTGTTGGGAGCCATATATTTAGGTTGACAGTAGCTGAAACACAAGTATATTGCCAGGAAACTGGCAAACAAATCAGATTGGAATAGCCCTATATCATATGCATGTTGAATTGAAGATAGGAGGAAATCTTCGGGCATATCCTATATTGGATAAAAGTTTAGGCAGTCGAAGAGGTCAAGATCCAGACAGTTATGGTTTGTAAAACAAGCCAGAGGCTCAGGAAGTCCGATAAAGACAGCTTCAAGTAAGATGTATGGACACAGAAAACTGAGCAACGAGACAGGTGTAAAAGGAGGTGTAAATATGATGCTAGAAATTAGCAATGCCCTATAGTACATCTTCCTCTACTTTCATCCTTCATTTTGTTCAGCCTAATAAG